AAAATCGGCGGGATTTGGGAAAAGCAAAGGATTTGATGCTCAAGACCTATCCGGAGATTATGGAAGTAGTACATTAGCGAGCATTTGGCTTTACATGCATGTGGGGAGTTTGGAGAGTATCACACTATGGTTCTTGACGCGCCATTATTTCGAAAGAGGATCTGTGACAAGTGGAAGTGTTACGATGAGAAGTTTCTCTATTTTAAGTTCGAGGACTATAGAGTTGAGAGTAATGAGTAACATAATAAGTGATCAAGTTAATTGTGTGTGTTGAGATCCTTTGACAGAAAGAATGTTCCAACATGCGGATATCATTAGAGAAACCCGAATGCAAGATCATTCTATTCCATCAAAACAAAGACAAGGAATCAGTGAAGCAACAACGGAAAGAACAATGTATCATAGGCCTTGCGAATATACTGTATTTAGCTTTAACGCTATTATTAATAAAGCAATCCTTTCTATACGTGTATGAAATGTGGTCATCGGAGGCTTTATTAGTTCCCTGATGCGAATTCATATCTGCTGACTGGGAATTTTTGTCGACCAACCTGATATCACTTCAATACTGAGTTTCTCAAATGTTGTCTTTTTGGAAGTAGATTCCTTGGTATTTGATTATAGAAATCTTACCATGCTGATAGTTGAACATCTTCATCTACGCAGTTGTCCGGCCGGGCAGACAGTGTCTCATTCATTCGTGCTTTACCCTACGAAATGACGTAACTTCCATTATTCGCCTTGCCCGACACCAAACCGTTCTGTTCGAGAACAGATATCTCCATTGGCTGTGGATAATCACTTGCCCAAAGGAAATTGCAATAACTGTCTCCTTGAAGAAGGTCGTTCGTCTCTGGACAATGCGTAAGGGGTTCTTAAATGCCGAATTTGCCGATACGTTCGACTTGACTTAATCCATGGTCATATGTATTTGAATTAATTCTTCGAATTGTTGTAAGAATTCATGAACTTTTTCTTCTAACCAATTTGCAAGTAAATAAATCAACTCGCCTTCCACAATTTAAACTTGTAAAACACTCACTCGTGAAAACAACTTACCCCCTCGCTTTCTCCCGTTTCCTCTTCTGTCTCCTCAAATACTTTAATGGTCATAATGGGCTTACTCTAATAAAGACCATTGACGCATCCTAGCCAAATCAGAGCCAACCATAACAAAGTTTTACAAATGCCAAAAATAAATGTCAACAGTCACTATTAAGCCAATATCATAACATACAGTCAACCCTCTATAAATGCACGCCCTCGGGAATGAGCTGTAGCGTGCATTTACAGAGGGTCAAAATTTTATTGGTTGCACGTGATTTGATATAAAATGTTTATTCAATGTTATCGAAAAATTTATCTATCGTTGTTTGCTTCATTTCACTCACTGACTTTAAACTAATGTAACGTTCAAGCGCTCTTACATGTTTTAGCAACACTTTAGAATCTTGTTGTTGCTGCAGAAATGAACGAACAATTTCTAAGCCATTTGCAGCATCATTGGCATGAACTATTGGTGGCTCAACACTATCATCAATATCACCGCCATCAATGTCACCATCATCAATACATGGTTTGTATATTTCAATAAGTTCTTCAATCAACGTATTACTGTCAGACACTTCGTATGTTCTTTCTTCTTCTGGATAACTTAAGAACTCATCAATTGGCAGACTATCAGGCAAGTTAAGATCATTAACAGCTTGTGCAAGCTCTCCAGACGTTGGCACACTATTTGTGTTCAGAATCTCAGTTAGCTCGGCATTGATATTAGTTGGAAGGATTTTAGTATGTTTCCAACAATTACTAATGGTTAATGGTGTGATTTCTTCCCAACTCCTAATAATGTAATTGATAGCCTGTAGTACGTCCATTTTCAAGTCTTTTATATCACTTCCTTTTCGAATCTCACTTAGTAGCCATCGGACGTGCAAGCTACGGTAATGTCTTTTGAAAGAACTGATAATGCCTGCATCCATTGGCTGGATTTTTGCCGTAGTGTTTGGCGGAAGGAAATAAAGATCAACGTTTGAAAGCATTATGCCAGCTGCCTTATGGCTTGGACAATTATCTAAAAGTAATAAAACCCGTTGATTTTCATGTCTTTTAGCTACCTCCCTACTGAAATCTTGGAGCCACTCTTGAAAAACGGTAGCCAACATCCAGGCTTTTCTGTTGTTACGATACGTCATGGGTAAACTTTTAATGTTGATATTCGCGAAGCATCTCGGTTTTGCAAATTTACCAATAATTAACGGATCTAACTTATGGGATCCGTCAGCATTTGCACACAAAGCGACCGTAAGTCTCTCCTTATCTTTTTTACGTCCAGATAGTCTGTGTGTGGCTAATGTTCGGTCCGGCTCTAGTCTGTAAAAAAGGCCAGTCTCATCCATATTGTAGATTCGTTCGAGTGGATAGGTTTCGCATTTATTTTTTAATAATGGTAAAGAATCGGCGATGGTAACTGGGTCAACAGACGATGATTCTCCGTGAAGTTTCTGTAGACGTATTCCATTACGCTCTTTGAAGCTTTGGAGCCAACCAGGGGAGAACTTTAATGTACCATTTGAAACTCCCAGGCCATCTGCTAATTGTTTTGCTGTTTCAATTAAAATAGCTTCCGTGATAATGGCTTTATCTTGGTAAGTTAAGACAAATTCTTTGAGAGCGAGTTCGAGTTCAGGAACCGTTACAGGTTTGTGTCGCTTAGCATTTGGTTGAGTAATTTCGCTACCAAGTATTTCTTCGCTTCTTTTTAAAATTCTTGATATAGTTGATTCATCCACTCGAATAGACCACTTTTTTTCGATCCAGTCGACATATTCTTTTCTGGTTAATTTACCGCTTTGGCGAGCATATAAACAGAGTTCACGTTTTTGAGAATCTGATAAACTAACTTTACTTTTCGGCATTTTGTTTAAGCTGTATAGAGAAATAATGTGTATTCGTAGGATTGAATGCGAGTTTAACATTTGCTTTATTGAAACTTGAGCTCAATTATCTACAGTTTATATATCTTTAATGATCGTTCTATCCATTAAACAAAGAATTTAAAATTATTATTATCATTTATCTATTAAAAAGACATAAGAACTTAGTATGCGTTATCATAGCGATTCACCAAAGACATTACAGATTCTTTAAGCGTCTATATTTAGCGAAGGACAAAGATGAGTTAGCTTTAACAAAGTAATACTTTACACTTCCAGATAATTCTTTATCTGTTTGTTACTGAACTTACAACGTTTATTAATTAACTGGTGTAACTGGTCCTTTGTCAACATTAGCTTAGTTTTATCCAATCGTTAAAACGATGATATTTACCCTTTTTGTCGTTTGTCTAACATTAAATTTAGAACATCCAATCACCTCCTAGATGTCAAATGTAACACATAATACAAATCACATGAAAATCACGGGCGTGCATTTAGAGAGGGTAGATACATATGATAAAAAATGGAAAAAACCGTGCAATGCATTTATAGAGGGTGTGCATTTATTTCTAATTCCCGAGCTTGGGAATAGAGTAGGCGTGCATTTAGAGAGGGTGTGCATTTATAGAGTGTGCATTTATAGAGGGTTGACTGTATTATTAATTGATACCCTTCATTGTATAGGGGATTTGCAGGTAATGGTTCAAAGTACGCTGCTATATGATCATGCCCTCCGTGGTCAAAGTAAGAAGTCCTCCATTTTATCACTTCATCCGACTCTGTAGCTAACGCGGAATAAGTAGCCCTAAATAAGCCATCGGATGACGCGATTTTATCAATCTTTCTTTACAGCGCTATAAAATATCCTCATCATCACGCGTCAAACTTTTCTTGCATTCGTCAATCACAAGACTCTGTAGTGTTTCATCCTTGTCGTACCCGATAAATAGGTCTGCTTCGGTAAATCCACCGGCTGTATTTATACCTTCCATCCCCATTATTGTTGATATAGACTTGACCCAGGTTTCAAGTTGAAGGTATAAACGATATTGCTCTTCCGTGAGTGTATCATTAATAGTTAATCTTTGCTTTTCAAACCGGTTCAAAAGCGGAGGGTCTGCGTCATATACTAGTTTTTTATCAAAGACAAGGACGCATCTGAAATTCGGATGCACATAACACATTGGATTGGCGTAAGCTCCCAAAGCTACTCTTGTATAATATTTGGGATCGTCTTTGCTACCTTGTGTTATGTAATTCTGATTCCACAAGTCATACAAGCTACCTAAAATATAAAAATATGAAGAAAATTATGAAATGTTTTAAACGCAAATTCATATATTAAAAAAGTCGAAACCAACCATATATAACATCCAGATCAGTCAAGATAAGCGGTTTTCCTGCTTCAACGCACATCTACAAGGTTATGATTTTTAGCAAGTTATGACCAACAAACATATCCGTATGAGTATTTTAGAGACTTTACCATAACTCTACTTAATACGCCGTAAGAATAGTCACCCTCTGCATCGTCCGGAAATTGCGATCCACGAAGAACCATTGGATCCATATCGAGTGACCTCAAATGATAAGTAAGGATGTTAACTATTGATTCACTTTTTCCGATTATCATTAAATGTCTGGCATCTTTCTCGTGAAGATTCTCGTTAATTAATTTTTCAACTGGTATTGGATCATAGCTGTAATCGAACAGTCTACCGGATTCCTTCAATACGTTTCCAAAGTAATCTTCGCATATTGCTTTCATTTGATCAGTGCCCCCGAAATTTCGTGCGAGGCCCAATTGTATTGAATCCACTAAAAAATTAACAAAGAGCGTTTAAATCACTGACTTAATATCGTCAAATGCATATATCACAACTTGACTCACTGGTAAGTTTCCCTCTGTTCAAACTTTTGACTAAAGCATAATAATCACGAAGACCTGTTAAAAGGCACAAAGATAATGTCAATACATGGAATCACAGAATATGTTATCTAAAGACACATATATACCATGGAAGTTGGGGTATTTCTGGTTTTTTGGTAATCTGTGTAGGCTGCAGCAAGGTTTTTTATTTTGCGGTTGCTCATATCAATTGATGATTCGCGTTCGCCCTTCAACAAAAGAGAAAGAGCTGTCTCCACAAGATCCCTTTTGCTCAATTGAGGTCTCCGAACCAGTAATGCTCTACTCGATTTACTATTGTCTAATCTCCAATTACTTATTCCGATTACCGACACTTCTGGTCCATCCTTAGGATAATTAGGTTCAAGTAGCGCATGTAAAATCTTCAAGGGATTAAATGGACTCCTTTCCGCTAGACCAACTTCATCTAAAAGAACTACTGCCTGTAAATTAAAGGTATCGGATTTGGACTTCTGTATCTTTCTGGAGAATACCGTCAGATGTAGAGGAAGATGATCCTTGATGTGAAATTATAACAACCTTAAAGCAAAGCTTATGTAAGAGGAGACATACTAAACAATGTAAAATGTAAAACATTATTGTTCGATATGGTTACCTGTGGTAGTTTTCTAAAATACTCATCGTTAGAATCAGTTCCCCAAAGATTAGTCTTATTGCTAAAGATTTGGAACTAGAATTAACAATATCTGTAATGCATTAGCACTGTCCAAACAAAAATTGCATACTTCACAACGATAGTCACCTTCCAAGTGCTCCAATAATAAAAACTGGAATTCTCGTCATAATACAAACAATCATTACAAGCACATTTTCCAACAGTGCTTCATTAAGGGCAGTGGCGGTGGACATGCCATCCTGTGTATCCAATCATTCTGCTCTTCCTTAAGGTATCGTTGAAAGTCTTCAGCGGTCAGACGAACCTTGTGCTTCTCGAAAATACGAGCCATCTGTTTACGGTATTCTTCTCTTTCACCCTGATCGTAAAGCCGAGCTTGATAACAGAGTCCCAATGATAAAACAATGCAACGCTCGAAAAAGTATTTGTCTTTGGGAGGATAATTGTTAACGTTATAACCCCAGTCATAGTTATATTCGGTTTTCCTCTTCTTTCTTTCCTCCATCAACTTAAGCCTCTTTTGGAACCACATAATCAATTTGATGGCTCTTCTAACGTCTCGCAAGCTTACGCTTTGAGGCCCTTCGATCTTACGTATGTACATTTGCGACTCAAACAGCAAATCACTTATGACGTCAACCTTACTTACTTGACTCTCAAGCATAATTTTGATATACACCTAAGTAATAGAACGAAACTATTAGTTAGTAGCTCTATCATGAGATTAAACGAACTTTTACAAGCACCTGTTCATCTTCGGGTTTGAGCACGCCAAAGTCCCTGACATAGTCAAGAATTTGATCAGGAAGAGGATGCACTTGATAAACGAGTTGACTCTGCTCCTGATAGACTCGTCTTTTCGCTAGCCCTGCTACATTAACATTACCTACGCGCAATCAATAAGGATTACAAGCAGCAAACAGACGAATGTTTGAATGTATTGGCTTTCCCAACAACGTTCTGTGAGCTATGAGATCCGCCAAAAGACCAATGTGGTTGCAAGTGTTGATTTCATCAAAGAATAACCACACTTCTCCTTTTCCAGCAAGTTTATTTCCTTCGCTCATGAACATGAGAATCTGGCTCTCAACGATACCGGCATGCAGTGAGAGGTTACAGAATTTGACACCCACTACCTCAGCCAAATAACCGATCAAACTCGTCTACCAGAAACAAGACATCGATTATTATATATTTTTTTGCTGGAGATATAAACATCGATCCCAAAAAGTAAAGAATTTTGCCTTGCCGCATCCAGCTTCCCCACACACCACAACCGGTATGCCCGCACGTGCTCGCAGTAATATTAATGCCATTTTTATAAGATTATCAGTATTTTGCCTCTTCATCGATGTACGAGTGATACATTCCAGGCGTTCTTGCAAAACTTGAGTTGTCATCTCGTGATAGTTTTCTAGTTTAGATGTTTCTAAATGTGCGCAATCTGATGCTTTTGGCTCCATAAAAGACGTTTGACATTGTCTGGTACCTTAGCTCTATCACGGTAAAGAGCGCAAATAGGATCTGGTGTTTGCGATAAGAAAAATACTAACAAATGATTCGAGTCATCCCATTTGACTATTGTGACCAATCGAGCATTATCCGCGTCTGCTGCGGTCGATGCTAGCTGTGCGGCTTTGCTTTCAACCGAGCGTGTCGCAAAATCTTTTGACACGCGTAATAGAGTCTCAAGTAGCGTTGATCGTACATCTGAATTTCGCATCATCAACTTGAGGTTTTCAACACGAAAGAAAGAGCTTGAGGATAAGCGAAATAATTGATCGGCAAGAACGCTAACGAAAATCTCTACAAAACGGTAAGACGCGATTGTCTCCGGATTATCTGCAAAAAAGTACTGTTGTATGAGTTCGCGACAACGTGCTTCTGGTAATTGCTTGGCTACAGTTTCGTCGAAAAAGATATCATCATAATCAATCGCTTGTTTCGTGTAGACGTCCAAATAGCGACAAACAATTTGAATTGGACTGTGGACTTCAAATAATTAATCAGTAAAGAAGTAGGGAAGCTTGAGACAATAAATTTGTTAATGCTCCACAGGTAAGGTGCTTTCGGGGTAAACATTTGATAATTGGCAATGACTCAAGCAAATATTGATCCACGGTTGATGCAATCTCAATCAAGATAGCTTGCTTTGGAAGAGTAGCAATATGTACTTTGTTGGATATCATCCCAAGCGTAAGAAACTCAAAAATAAACATGTTGACTTCTGCAGTATTGTCAACAGAACAATGTTCAGGTGCAAACTCTCTAAACGTTTCAGTCTGCATTCGTGTAATTGACGCACGAGTCGATCGTAATGCATGCCATCACTTGTCAGTACGCTTTTTAGGCAGTGACTTCGCCTTCATACAAGTTTGTTTGACATATTCTGTTTTACCCTGACCAGATAGATCTGAAGATATACACTCCACATTTGGGCAAAGTTCTCTGTACATATTTTTCATGGAAGCTTCCTCGAGACCTATTGTATTGTAGACATGATTTGAAAATTGGTCGAGAATGTGGTGATGGATACCATGCTCTCTGCAACATATTAATGCCAGTTTATAATTCTTTTCTTGTTCACGCAACGTTCTTATGTGCTTAACAAGACTGTATTGTAGCCAAGTTAGCAATGCAGTACAAACAATCTTTGTAGCTGTTTGCTGCCGCGAAAAAACATCTTTTTATAAATAGCGTAAGTCCTTCGGCTGTTGTCGTTGTTCTGCATATAAATACCTGCCATGGTTCAGGGTATGAGCCATGGTTAGCGTACAATGACATAATAATGTTTGCAACCCGAAACTTGTCATTACATGCTGCTACAAACAGCTCTCCAGGTCGTACAGTGTCAGAAACGACTGGTTCTACGATATCAGGCTTAATCTTTCTTTCGATAACAGGCTCATCCTTAAAGATTGCGGAAAGTCTTCTTCCAATATCACACAGCACTTCCTTGTAGTTTCCTTTGTCTGAATCCACCTTCACAATCTCACCAGGTAATGGCAGTTGAGCATCGGGATTCACGAAATGTATCAGTGTTTCGCAAATTTGTCTGAGATCGTTGTTCGCTGGCGCATCTTGAACGAAATAGTCATAAAACTTCAAGATATGTCTTCCAGGGTAAAAGGTCAGATAGTAGTAATCTTCTTGCGCATCTTCCACAATCTCTTCCCTGTAGAAAATTATTAAGTTATAAATACATAAAAACTATATCAACACCTTACAAAAAAGAAAATTAAAAATATAATAGGCGTCTCTTCACGGAATTTATACTTGCCACTTTTCCAAGTCTTCTTTCAATTGACCAAGTATAGCTGACATCTCTTTAGAGGTACGCGTCACAGCCCGAAACTTCCGATAAAAGAAACCAATTCCATTAACTTTGTTGCAAAATTAATAATCTGATGCACCAAGTCTACTTGATTAACAAACTCCATCATTACAACACCTGCTCGGTCCTCTTCGGACTCGGAACGATCTCGAATGTCCTTCACAGCGGAAGTTGCCATCTCCTGCTTGGCGATGAGCAAAGCCCGACCTCGCAAATCTTGTAACTCAGTCAAGTCGTATTTGTTACTACCCTTCTCAGTTTCGTAAGACATCTCAACAGAGCACCGATCTTCATCCTTATCGCGTTTAAATATGTAAACCCCTTTGTCGCAGCATTTTGTATACGCTCCTTCGTAACTTCACCTCTATTAGTAATGTTTTCATACATATTCATTAGTGCAGAACGATGGCCGTTACGAAGAGAAATTCTTTCCGCGAGAACTTTGTTCTTATCAGTCAATTCGCGAAGCTTTTCCAAAAATCCTGGAACTCGAAATTGCACATCCTCCGATCTGAGTGGAGCCAAAAACTGTTTGATTTCCATAAGAGAAGAAACTATATCTCCCTTGATTAAACGTTCGTCAGAGTGGTCATCAACTCCATTAATTACGTTTTTTAAATCATCCAATCCAATTTTGTCAAGCCAAATCAATAAATCGCGAGCGGCAGCTATTTCTTTGGTTATTTTCCAGCAATAATCATTAAGAACTTTTCCAATGTTGAGATCAGTTCCTTTAAATCTTTTAACAGCATTGTTTCTTTTTCTAAGCCGGCAAGCATCGTCAAAAATGTTTCTTCTCCGTCATCAATGACTGCAAAAATATTCAATACATCTATCAGGTATCGTAATCGCTCTTTCCATTCGGGTATTTCAGCCAGCACTTTAATCGATTTCATCAAACCCTGTGAACTCTTCCATTCCATGCCCTCTGACATTGATTTCAGTTCCTGTTCGACATTTTTCACGTTTGCCCACAATGGACGTGATTGGGCGCACGTTAACTTTCCCCAATCTTTATAAGCAGTTCTTTTTTCATTATACTTGTTGAATGCTGCCTCGGCAACTTTCTGAGCGACTACTTCTACTGTCAAAGGTCCCGATTCTTCCTCTTCCTTCAAACATTCTTCAAAGACATTGGCAAAGGTTCCCGAATCACGAAACGGATATATGCGTTCTGCAACGTCAGTTATCGATTGATGAATTTCCCAATACTCTTTTAATAAAATATCTTTGTATCGAATCTTATCAAGCGAGTTGCTTCTTTTAGCAATATCATTGAGGTAATCTTCAGCATTAGTTACTCTGGCATTTCGCTGACAAAATTTCTCGTAAAATGTACTGAGTTGATTTAACTCTCTTGGAAGCTAGAAAATACTACCCGACATTCTTGTATAGTCCGCAAAGGACTGTTCGCCATCATCGAAACGGTTCAGAATACCAAAATATTCCGAAAGATCTTGGTCCGAATACTGAAAAAGTTGTTGAAGCATGCTAACTGTGACGCGTTGGCATTCTAGCTTCTCCGCCAAGTCTTCAATAGCTCTTCCGAGATGTTGTTTAATACGGTTTACACAACCCGTGGCAGTCAACACGCTCATCCAAAATTTCCAAGAACCCAACAAGCTCTGGTGAAATTTGTCGCTAGTTTCGTCGGCTTCTTGATAAGAAGCGCTTTCTTGCAACTTGGTCAAAATATCTTCACAGAAACTATAATAAAAAGAATCGAATCACTGTATTATAACACAAAGCAAAGGATGGATGAAAGTAAGTTTACATTATCACTTACCCATTAGGGACTTGAATTTGCTTGCCGTCACAATCGCATATTTGTCTAATTTTCTTCAGTAAATGTTCATCAGCCTTCCACAAAGTTTTTTTGCACAATTGCGTAGAACGATTTCCAAATCTCTTCCGCTTGTAAGTCTCCTATATCCTTAACTGCAGCATAAATTTGAGCTTCTTCAAATGGAGCGATGCGGTCGTCAGCAATATTTAATAGTTCGTTTTTAATCGTCTGTCGATGTCCGAGTATTGGATAAATGGTGGAAAGTCGGTTATATACAGTATATACATAATTATACCCATTATCGTGAGAGCAGTTACGTGATTCCTTTATTTGACTTATTACCCGTTTGAACCATTGTGTGCAACATTCATCAAGTTTTGCATTGAAATAGCTTTTGTCCAGAACTACTCGAAGTAAGTCCACGAACACATCCAATATTTCCATGTTCTGTGAAATAGATACCAATTTCAACACTTTCATTCTGTCTTCTGACGTCCACAACAGCCTATCGTCTTCGAACAACGCAACAAATTCCTCAACATTGTCTCTATCCCATTTTGATCTTTGTCCATCGAGTAAATTTATAATCCTTTTAATGAACAATGACGGGAAGTCAATATCTAGACCGTCTGGCAGTGCACGCGTAATCCTGTTGCATTATCTGTATTAATTATCTCGTTTAGACGTGTCATCCAATTCTGTTTTAATGAGGCGTTAGCCTTCATGTCTGGTCTAATCATTTCCTTCCATAGAAATACTAGAATTCGAATATTGGCGGCGGTTTCAATAAAAGACTAACGATATACATTACATTAGTATCATATTAGAAGCTATGCAACGGAAATTGAATAGTACTTACTCTAAATAATCGAATATATTGGTCATCTTTCTCCGTTTCAATATTAAGTTTCTGCTTCATAAGACATTCGCAGAAACGTTCCGATTCATCTAGGTTTGGTTCGCGTTGTCCAACTGACTCCAAAAACGAATATTTTAGATCGATAAACGCTGCTACTCCGAACATTCCCATCCACTCGAAAGAATTTGATGTGTGCCAATTATGCTGGACTAACACGCCAACAGCGTAGGATAGCAACTCTATAACGTCTTTGAGAAGCGTGTCATCACCGTCTATAAAACCAAGAGAATTCAACAAGCATGCCGATGGAATGTATCCACGAGTCTGACTTCGTAAATATTATGGGAGTTTTTCACAAGCAAGCCGAGCAGTACGCACAAGAAAACACATTGTGCATCTCGTTTAGCCTCGTAAGCGCAGTCGGTAATAAATTCTATGTTCACAGTTTTCATACAGAGATCTTCGTATTGATTGAACACCTCCCTAAGCTTGGCATTGAAATTAGCTTTGGTGATCGTTTCGAATATCTGCGTAAGAAAGCAAAACGACTCAGAAATATCGTGTTCAGGAATGGTGTATTTTGAATCCCACTTGCAGATGACGTATTGGTTTTCTACGGGAACAAGTTCGCGATTATCTCTGTGATCACAGCCTTCATAAAAAACATTATTATGTTCCCGAAAACGTTTTTTTTTAAACTTTCCGAATCTTTGACTTCGTTCTTTTTCGACATTTTCATGTGGCATGATATTAATATTGCTTTTTGTGTCTAAATCGTCGCCACGAGAATCTCTGTCTTGCCTTTATCATTCCCCATTCAACTTGCTTCGCTTGTTCGTTCGTTCCTCGTGCAATTTGATTGCCTTCTGTGTCTAGATCATCGCCACGAAAATCTCTTTGGCCTGCCTTCTCCGCACCCCGTTCAGCTCGCTCCGTTTGTTTGTTCGTTCCTCGTGCAATTTGATTGCCTTCTGTGAGTAGATCGTCGCCACGAGAATCACTTTGGCCTGCCTTTTCCGCACCCCGTTCGGCTCGCTCCGTTTGTTCGTTCGTTCCTCGTGCAATTAGATTGCTTTCCGCAGCTAGGCTTCGTCCGTAAACATCTTTTTCTATCCCAGTTCCATGCTGATGACATGACATGAACCAAAGTAACCAATCCTAGCACGATTACCCGGCAGCTGACACAAAGATCTTCAACACTTTCACTTAAATTAAATAATTTAGCATATTAACGAGCCACATTATATAAGGAAATTCATGCCATCCAATTTTGAGAGAAAATTCATAAATGCTGGCATGATATAGCGTTACATCAACATCGCATATTTCCCCGTTGCGGTAGACTTTCCCATTAACTGTATATGCATCGCTCAAAAACGGTTGAGAGAATTTGAATTGACAAAGATCCGCACATTGACAATCTATTGGCGATTCTCCAATCATGAGTATTTCTTTTTCATCGCTGAATAACATTTCAATCTTGGTAACTAAAGATTCATCCAGAAATTTATAAGTTGGAACAAAGTCGGCTCTTTCAATGACACTCAATTGATTGAACGTTT